GTTAATTTTTATTAAATCAAATGGTTTATTCAATGTTAGCTTCAACAACCGAATGAATAGAAAAATTAAAACATTTTAGATAGCAAGATTGTTTCGAACAAACAGTTCTAAACTTCGAAACTTCGAACTTTTGTTTCTGCTTCATGACAATGATCGAACTTTTTAATTTATTATGAGCAGTTAAACTTTTACGTAAATTTTGTTGTATTATTTTTATTCTATTGAATTTGCATGGGAGAAGAGGAAGTTGATTGCTGGGATGAAAGTTCGATAGTTGTTGTCAAAGATGAACTACTAGCAGGTAGAGTGTATGATTTGAATGCTGTTTGACTCATTAAACGATCTATTTGTTTTTTTTTATACAAAGGACAGCTGTCTATTCATCACTTTTCTAAGTCATCAATTTGGTACACAAAGGATTGGGATTGAACAATGAATTTTATTATATGTCTGCACCGTATGAGCGACAGAACAAGAATGAATGTTATGTAAGTTGTGTGTTCATGTATATGTATGTATGTATGACAAATCCTAGAAAGCACGTGGCGGAAAAGGATGAGCGAAGAGGAAACATGATTACAAAAATACAAGTATGCAAAAATATGAATATGTAAAATACACTAAGTGCTCAGAAAAAAGTGGACACTTTGCAAAATAACATTGTAAACTAACATAAAGAGAATCATTCTTTAACAAATCCAAATTGGTAAACTAACATAAAGAGAATCATTTCTTAACAAATTCAAATTGGTAACATAACATAAAGAGAATCATTCTTTAGCAAATCCAAATTATTTTAATGAAAAAAAAACACGTGTGAAATTCAAACGTGAAAAAAAACAAAAACAAACAAAATAAACAAAACAAAAATAAAAATCAAAATCAAAATAATAAACAAAAAAATATATATACAAAAAAAAGCAATTGACCAGGGAAGTAAGACAAGTGAGAAGACTTGATTGTCCAATACCAAAAATGTTGAGAAAACAAAGACCAGCAAGTCCAGACGTTCAATAAATTAGGTCGAATAGATGCATAGGATCAGGCATTCATTGTTGATGATGTTGATGATGACTGTTGGACTTCATCGTCCGAAGAATAACCTTCTGTGTCACTGTTTGATGGTAAATCGCTGAAATAAAAAAAATTATTATGTGTGAAAAAAACAAAACAAAACTTACGATTGTTCAGAGTATTCACAAAAATTTGGATATACATCCTTTAAGAATTCAAGTTCTGGGTATTGAATTTTTAATTTTTTTTCCATTCGTCGTTTAAGATGTCGATTATAATTTTTTCTAATTCATTCTTCGTCTTAGATGACAGTTATAATTTTTTTTCAATTTCTGCCATTCTTGATTGAAGTTTTCAAGTCATTTAGACACCATACCATGAGATGAATATCCTTTTTCTTGGAAGTGAATTTCCAGTTATGTGTGTAAAGTTTTTTGATTTTTCGGCGATTAATTCAGGTTACTTCCTTATAACAAAAGTAAATAGAATTGTCGATAGATTTGGATGGATTCCTGGAAGAATTTGTTGCCGTCCAAAAACGTAATTGAAATTTTTTTTTTTTGCACATTTTTTACATTTTCGAAAATCCTAAACACAACGTTGTCAACGGAAGATCAAAAATCAAATGTTTTTGCGTTGAGAGTGTGAAGGAAAACGGAAAACAAAACGAAAAAAAATTTGGTGGACTGCGCAAGCTCATTTCGAAATTTCTAATTTGCTCATTTTTTTACATTAATGCATTTTTTCTCGATTTTCAGAATTCGGAAAATCAAAAAAAAAAAAAAAATCGCTATCGAAAGAACAAATGAATTTTTTTTGATTTCGATTTTCAGGATTTTTCACAAAATTCATGAGTATGTTTTTTTTCTTTTCTTCTTTTTTCTTGTCAATTTCTTTCTCACACATTTTACAACATTTTCACACAATGATGTAACGAATCAGTTAAAACACACACTAATGATGATGATGACCAATTAAAAAAAAATGCAAAAAATAAATTTTAAAAAAATTTGAATTTATTTTAGATTTTTATTCAATATTTTTATTATAAATTAATTAAAGTTTCGTGGTTTTAGATGTAAGAATCATTTCCGGGAATGATTCTAGCAGCATTTTTTTTCGGTCCAAGCCAATTGAATCACAAAAATTGTTTATTTTTTTCGGCATCATTGATTTTTTAATATCAAATAAGACGAAGTTTAAAATTGTAATTATGTTGGAATTGGCATTGGTAACTTTCAGTTTTAAAACTAAGGACATTTTTAAAAGCAATCTTGAAGCTTTTTTTGAAGGAATCCAATTTTATAATTTTTTTGCCATAAGATAGGAAAAAACATCGACTTGTTTCAATACAGTAGGAAAATTATAATTTTCATTGATTTTTTTGAAATGGCGGTAACGTTTAACGTTTTGTAATGATCCGATAAAAAATAACATACACATTCGACCATATGTTGACGTTCAGAAGATGTTACGAATTTTTTTTTATACGATACTTTTGAAAAACGATTTTTGGCCTCTAAAAATCGTTAGTTAGCTTCAAAATTGCCGTTAGAAAACAAGAACTTTGTCTTTGCGCTCTAACACTTTCTCAATGAGTGTGCAACGTTTTTTCAACGTCTTTTAAACAGGAAAAAATTCGAATTTTTTAGTTTTCGAACTTTTAGACTCGTCATATAAAACGTAACTTTTCAAAATCTGCATTTCTGCGGAAGATGATTTTGAGATCTTCTCTGACAACGGTACGAAGACCTAATAAGAATAACGGAAGCACTTCTTCCCAATTACCGGATGAAGCTTTGATAGCTGCTTTAAGAGAACGATGAAATCTTTCGATCATTCCATTCGCTCTAGGATTGTACGCTGATGTGGAAATTAGTTGTACGCCAAGCAGATCCGCGAATTTTCGATAGAGATGGGCTTGAAACTGTGGTCCTCGATCCGTTGTTATTTTGGCCGGAATACCAAACCGAGAAATCCATTCCTCATAGCAATAACATTGAATAAATGTCGAAAAACATAACCATATGAAATAAATCAAATAAAATCAGACAAACACGTAGTTAATTTTTATTAAATCAAATGGTTTATTCAATGTTAGCTTCAACAACCGAATGAATAGAAAAATTAAAACATTTTAGATAGCAAGATTGTTTCGAACAAACAGTTCTAAACTTCGAAACTTCGAACTTTTGTTTCTGCTTCATGACAATGATCGAACTTTTTAATTTATTATGAGCAGTTAAACTTTTACGTAAATTTTGTTGTATTATTTTTATTCTATTGAATTTGCATGGGAGAAGAGGAAGTTGATTGCTGGGATAAAAGTTCGATAGTTGTTGTCAAAGATGAACGTTCAACGTTCAATAAATTAGGTCGAATAGATGCATAGGATCAGGCCGGGATCGTCGAAAGCTTGAGTTTCCATTTTTTGTAACCACCAAAGAATCGGTCAACACGGTACGCAGATATTTACCGATGTTGGATTATACCCCAAGAATTGCACGGCGTAAGCCACTTGAGTAAGAAAAACAAAAACAAACGCAGATTATGGGTTAATGAAATGGCAGCGAAGCCAACGGATTTTTGGAAACTGGTGGACGATCTTAATATCGCGTGGATCCGCCACGAGCTTTTTTCAAGGCTTCGAAGCGCCTTGGCACGCTTTCGATCAGCCGATCGATCATGCTCTGCGGCAGTTCGGCCCATATTTTTTTTATGAGCTCGAAGAGCGCTTCGCGAGTCGATGGCCTCAGTCGGGTTTGGTGCAGCCTCCTCTTCATCTGCCACCAGACATGTTCGATGGGATTCATGTCTGGAGACTGCGCCACCCACTGGAGTTTATTGATCCCGGCCTTTTTGATCCATTCCTGTGTGGTTTTGGCGGTATGGCAGGGTGCCCCATCTTCCTGAAAAAGAAAATTCTTTTTCGTCACTTTCAACCGTCGATTCCGGAAGATGGGGAGTAGATTGGTCTCGAGAACCTTTACGTATTCGGTTGCGTTTACTCCATTGGAGCAGAGACGTAACTCGGACCGCCCTCCATGCCTAAGAATAAATAAAATTAATCAGAAACCAAGTTGTCAGAAACCAAAGACGAAAAATCTTACCATATTGCGCCCCACACCATGACAGAAAACCCGTTATGCTTGACCGTCGGTTGCAGCCGCTTAGCCTGATAGGCCTGGTCTTTTGTACGTAAAACGTACATGCGGCGCGCGTCACTGAATTGCGCAAAACGCGATTCATCCGAAAATATGACACGTTTCCAAAAATCCATTGGCTTCGCTGCCATTTCATTGGCCCATAATCTGCGTTTGTTTTTGTTTTTCTTACTCAATAGTGGCTTACGCCGTGCAATTCTTGGAGTATAATCCAACATCGGTAAATATCTGCGTACCGTGNCGTGGATCTGCCACGAGCTTTTTTCAAGGCTTCGAAGCGCCTTGGCACGCTTTCGATCAGCCGATCGATCATGCTCTGCGGCAGTTCGGCCCATATTTTTTTGTGATTGTTGGACATCTTTGTCCGCAGAATTTTCTTCTGTGTCACAGAAAACAAGGACTTCGTCTTTGCGCTCTAACACTTTCTCAATGAGTGTGCAACGCTTTTTCAACTGATTATGGTTGATGATGTTTCACTGAAATAAAAAAAAATTATTATGTGTAAAAAAACAAAACAAAACTTACCGTTCATTTGGTGATGACTGTTGGACAACCATGTCAGCAGAATTTTCTTCTGGGTCATTCATTGTTGTTGATGATGTTGGTCTGAAATAAAAACCAATTATTATGTGTAAAAAAGAAAAGAAACAAAACATACATATTCAATGGCGAAACATGGTCATCTAAGACCCGAGACGATTGTCGCCCAACGGTTGTGACAATTTTTTTCATAAACTAAATTAATTAGTTTTAATCTTTGTTCTCTTAAAAATTTAATAAGGGACTCATGATGTCCAATAGAAATGGACTGAAGATTGAAGTTTTCAAGTCATTTAGCCATTTTCTAAATGAACATGACGATGACGAAACTTCGTATGGTGTGCTCAAAAAAAAGGAAACGACATAAATAGTCGTTTTTTTCTTTTTTTCACTATAGTTCTATTTTTACNTGAATTGGATAAGTCCGCTTTTTATTGAAAGAAATTAGTAAAAAATAATCGTTTTCACAATTTTGCTAGGTTGTGACTTGATTGGCAAACATTTGGATTTTCAGATTTGATGGCAAACGGCATGAAGAGAATTAAGAAAACTTGACTTCAAGTTATCGATTGAAAAAATTTAACAAGTTATCATAATATTAAATTCTTTTGTTATGAGTATGTTTTTTTCTCTTTTCTTCTTTTTTCTTGTCAATTTCTTTCTCACACATTTTTGCAACATTATTTTCTTCATGATAATTCACACAATGATGTAACGAATCAGTTAAACAAACACACACGCACTAATGATGATGATGACCAATTAAAAAAAATGCAAATAATAAATTTTCAAAATAAAAAAAATTTGAATTTATTCTATTCAGAGTGGTAAGGGTTAAATTTACCCGAAATCGATTGAAAAAATAGTGTATTCTGTTGTTTAGTTGATAAAATCCTCGATGGATGGTAGCAGCATATAATGCTTTTTTTTTGTTGTTATTAAATAAATAACAATCATAAAATACAAAAATATAAAATGAATGTTATTAACAATTGAATATTATTCAAATTAAAAAGTTTTCATCAATTTTTTTTTGTAAACATTAAAAAATTATACAAAACAATGGATAATTGTAATTATAAAGGAGTAATTTACATAATGAAAATAAAAATTGTTAGAATATAACCATGTATACGAAATAAAAGGTTGGTCATTTGGATTAAGTCAGTGATTTTTTAATTATTTTTCAATTGGATCTCTTGCGATCGAATTAAAATCGTTATCGATTAGACTGATAACAATTTCGCTTTGTTGAGCATTCGGTTTTTGATCATATTTACGATAATAATAAATATACAAAGTAAAAATCGATGCGAATAATGATATCCCAGCCAAACAGATATATATTGTTGTTAAATTCTTTTGAAACTTTTTAAATAGATGATTCGAATGATTTGGAATCATTGATTGATTTGGAATCATTGATTGATTTGGAATCGATTCAGATGATAATTTCATGTCAGGATTTTCATCTGTCACATTTTCATTTACAGCCAATGATGATGGAGTAGTTTGTAATACGTAATCTTTTCCCAAATCCAACAAATCTACTTGTATTACAAAAAGAAAAAGTATTATCAAAAGTGGAATTTTAATAGAGGCCATTTTGTTCAGAATTTTGATACGTTATGATTATAAGAAAATAATTTCGAAATTTGTTTTCTCACAAATCAAATGTGATTTCGAATCAAAATAAACGAAAAAAAAGGAAGTGTATCATCAAATAGTGTATTCTGTTGTTGTTTAGTTGATAAAATTTTCGATGGATGGTAGCAGTGTTGCGCTTAAAAAAATCGAATTCTTTATTCTGAAAAATGTATTTTTTTGTTTTGTTTTGTTTTGTTTTCAATTTCTTTTTTTTAAAAAATAAAAGAATTTTTTTCTCATCCATCCAAATGATTTTAATGTTATAATCATTGAACCGTAATAAAAACTTTGATGATGATGATGAAAACAACCACAACTTTAAATGGAACGGCAAAATATATAAAAATAAAGATGGAAAATCTTTCGTTTTGTCGAATTACACATAATAATGGTCGATACATAACGATCTTTGTTTCATCAAAGACAAAGTTTTTTTATGTTTGAAGAAAAAAAGTGAGAAGAAAAATAAACCATTGCGATCACCCAGAATCTGGTAAAGATACCACCAACAAAACGAGAAAAGAATAAAATGTTCGGGTTCAATATTTTTCATTCCCCGTTCGTTCGTTCGTATGTATGCATTGTCATCATTTACTTTTTATTTCTTGAATTTTTTTCCTTCTTTCTTTCTTTCTTTCTCAACACTCAGATAATAAATCAAGTAAATCATGTGAACATCTAATATGACCATTTTCATTGTCAGTATTTTCGTTCTGTGTTGATATATTTATATGAAAACAAGTACAAAGTCAATGTCGAAACGTATTTAGTCCAAAAGAATATTGTCTCCACATACAAAGAATCTATCTGATTGTATCTGGCCAACGATATCATCATTGATAAGAAATTCATTGGATTTTTGAGAAAAATAAACGATGAATTCTACGCAATGATGAAGATGAAATTAATGATTCTTTTTTTCACAAAAAAAGAAAAAATTTCTTTTTTTTGCAATTTTTTGGATAGAATCGTTCGGTGGATACACACATATTGTACAGAATTCGAATAATATTCGATTGAAATTTTTAAAAGAAAAAAAAAGAAAGAAGGAAGGTTTGTAATTTCTATCTATTATCATCAATACTGATCTTTTTCTTTTCTTTTTTTTTATCAGAAATTCGCAATGGTAATCATCATTATCATCGTTTTATATATGATTCGTGATGATTGAAAATTAATAGATTTTCTCGCCGATCATCATCTTTTTCTGTTGTTGTTGTTGTTACTGTTCCATTCATTCATTTTTAGCAAAAGAAAAAATGGATCATCACCACTTAGCAATGAAAAAGAGAGGGTTTCATTTCATTTTTGTTTTTGTTTCAAAATCGAATGAAAATTATTGTCAACAAAATGAAAACATCAACATCATCATCATGACGATGAAACTAAAAAGGGCAAAAGATAAATGAAAAATTCCTATCTCAAAAAAAACACAGCCGATGAAAACAGAATAAAATGAAAAGTTTTCTCTCGTCTCTCCAATAACGATTATATCTGCTTTAACAAAAACAGCTAAATGGATACACATCCTATGTTGGATATATATAGAGGATACTGTTACCGGAAAAAAACTTTTTGCTGAAAAGAAATTGATTCTTTTAAATTCAATTCAATCCGATTTTTTTCCTTTCAACACTGAATGAATTTTTGATACTTTTTTTGTTTGTTTGCTGTTGCCTGATAATTTGAAATTGAAATTTGTTAAAAGTTTTCAGTCAACTAAACTAATGATGATGATCTTCGACAAAACCAACCAATCATAAGTTGGTTAATTAAATTAATTAATTTGACAACATCAACAACGGCGACGACGACAAAGACTAATGAAAAGTGAACAAACAAAAACGAAACAAACAAAAAAAAGTTGTCCTACCAATCAATTCTATCTCAAATTAAACCTGAATCATCAATTAATTCAGGTCATATGTGATGAACAAAAACAAAAAGAGAAAAAAGTTGCAAAATTTTTTGTGAAAAACAAAAATTAAAACAACGAAAAAAACCAGAATCAACCATTTAATGATTATTTTGATCATAATAAGATACGTGTTTAGAATTTGTTTTTTTGTTTTGATGAACAAACAAACACCAACCATTGCTCCTCTATTTACCAGATTGTTTTGTTTATTAGATATATATTCCCCAAATCATAAATGAAAATCTAACCAGAATTGGTGTTGGTGGACAACAGCAACAAAACGAAAAGAAAAAAATTGTACAAATCGATAATTGTGATGATGAACAAAACTTTGTTTTTTAGTTGCCCGGAATCCAAACAAAAAAAACAAAGTAAGATGCTGAAAATTGTTTAAATTAAATTAACGAATTCAATCAACAACGAATATATACAGGGTGTGTGTGTGACATTGTTCCCTTTTTCATCATTATGATTTGGTCTTTGATAATTATATTCTTTCTTTTTTTTTTGCTCAATACTATTTCAACCCCCGCGGAAAAAAAGTCAACCAGAAAATAAAAATAATTCTCATTGATGAGATCCAACAACATTGATGAACAAAACTTGGTCAATTTTTTTTCTGGTTTTGGTCCATTCGATTCCATTATGTGGAAAGTGTGAAACCGGAGAACCCCGAACCAACGAAAGCAACGGAAAAAAACTCATTTCATTTTCTATCCAATGATGAGGATGATTCTATCAAAATATCTTTCCGATTCTTGCTAACTAACTAGCTGAAGAAAGAAAGAAAACACAGAATCTCAAATTGTTCATTCATCCATAATAGCGGAAAAGTGTGAATTTAGAACAAACACAAAAATAACGGAACTAAATTTAAGAAATTGGACTGGAAAAAAAATCCTAAAATGAAAACCTTTTTTCACACACACATTTGAAATGGACAAAATGGACTGAATTGGAAAATTTTTTTTTCTAAAAGAATCAAATTGGATGATTGTGTGTGGATGTTTTTGAAATCGATGAACAATGTATAATCGAATAACCGACCAAAAATATTGAACAATGTTTACCGAGAGAAAGAAAACTTTTCTGCCTTTTTATATAAAAAACCAGGTAAATTAAACGAAACGATAATAATAATGATTATTGTCAGATAGAAAACATCCAAAAAGAATTCACATTCAATCAATGTATCCAGCAAATAAATAAAGGATTCAATCATCATACCGAAACCGTTCAACACATCAAAAAGAAAAGAAAAATCATTAATGCGATTCTGTATTTGATGTTTTAATCAAATCACATCATCACCATCGACACACATTAAAGAATGAATGAAAGAAAATAAAAGTTTCGCTCTTTTTTTTCCTTTACAAAATATCAAATATTTATTCAATTTGATAATAACAAAAGATATCCGTTATCTTTAGTTACCCCCCAAAAAAAAGAAGTAATGTACGTCCGGATTCATATTTCCGTTGTTCATAATTTTACCTTTTTTATTAACCGAACAAAAAAAAACTATAATGGATTCATCAACAACACCGGGCAAATGAATGAATCGAGAGAGAAATAAAAAAATGAATTCAACAGGAACTATTGAATAAGCGAGAAAAATAGAGGGGAAAAATCAATGAGCGAATCATAATGATGAAGTGGATGATGATGATGATGATGGAAATAATGAAATTCATTATCAAGAAAAAAATAAAAAAATGATAAACGAAAACGACAATGACAATGATAATTGACTGTAAGTGACTTATTTTATTTCATTTTTTTTCTCCATTTGAAATTTTATGAAATTTATGTAAATTTATTATCAACTTTTATGTAATATTCTTTTCTTTCTTCTTTTTTTTCAATCAAGCTAAATTCACTCCAATCATCATCATAAGTGTTGATTGAGTGACAAAACGACGACGATTATAATGTGTTCGTTTTCAAGCACACACACACACATTATAATCACCTTTATCATTTCACTACGTTTTTTGTTGCTGTTATTGATATTGCCGTTATGATAAACGAGACAAACGAGAAGAAAAAAGAACTTAAATGGAAATCATAATGATAATGATGATAATGAATGAATTTAACGAATATTTTTCCTTTTCATCATCATCATCATCTTCCATTACATTCTAATAGTTTTTTTTTGTTGTCTTTCCCATAGCTTTTCCCCCCGAAAACAAAAATTGTCATTTTCAAAACGACTAACGATGATGATGACAATAAATTCATGAATCACTGAATTGTCATCATTATCATCAAAAAAAACGATGTTTATATATACAATGTATATAAATAACTAGAAATGGATTTGTCAACATCAACAACAACAACAAGCTTGATTTGATGCGAATATATCATCATCAGATACAATGTTGAAAAACAAAATTGTGACATACATATAGAGTTGACTGTATAGAGTTGTTACGTTTTTCAACTTTTTCTTTGCCATCTTTCATCCATTTTGTCTGAAGATTCAGAAATGACATTTATGTGTGTGTGTTTTTTGGGTAAAGTAAATTTCCCATTTTTTCAAATGGATCGAACATGACGCTTCTTTTCCCCTAGGTTTTTTTTTAATCTTCAAGACCATCACATCCACATCATCATCATAATCATCATTATTATGACATTGGCATTTAAAGTTCCATATTCTGATGATGATCACCATCATCATGACAATCTTTTTGCCTGTCCGCTTACCAAATATATCAAATGAATGAATGAATGAATGAATATTTTAATATAGAATGCGAAAATACTGATTTTTTTTCTTTTGATGGTTCACTAGATCATGATGATAGATCATTATGCCAATATCTAATAGAAAGAGAGAGATATCAGCCGTAATAGGTTACAAATCAGTGTATTTTCATCATCATCATGATCATCCAAGTTTTCATCATTCTATCCAATCAATGGACATTCAATACATTCAAAATATATTAACATATTGATGACAGAAAGAGAGAGAGAGGGACATGATCGAATTTTTGAAATAATATTATGACATTTTGTCTGTGTGTATGTGACAACAAGAAGAAAAAGAAGAAAAAATTGATGTTCAACTTCTGTTTTAAACATTATTTTTTATAATGTTTGCTTGATGTTTTTTTCTTTTCCTCTCTCATAGGTCTATACACATCTGTGTTTTTAAAGTTGTTTAAAAATTTCAACTTTTTTTTTGGCGGCATTTCTTTCTTTTTTTTGTTGGTGATCTTTCGTTGATTTCATATCAACTACATATATGTATAGAGTTGTCATCATCATCATTTTGTTTTCGTTACTTTTAGGATCGTTAAGTTTTTTTTTATTTTATTTCATTTTTTTTTTTTTGGTCGTTGGTTGGTTCGAATTTAAATGAATTTATGTCTTCTTCGCTTCTATCTTTGTTTTTCGGGTTGGTTTTTTTTTTGATGAAAAAGAAATGGAGACCAAAAAAAAACAGTCGTCAAACCGAAAATACCGTCAAGACAAACATTAATGTTGTTGTTGTTGTTGTTTTTTGTCGTCGAACAATCAAACATTCGAAACACGAATGAAAGATGGTAAAAAATGGTTTTGTTTTTTGTTTTTTGTCATTCCATCTGGAACAACAAAGTATTACATTTATAGAGCTATCAATGGATGGATGGATGAATGGCCCTATTCGAAACGATTAATGTAATATTTTCTCGTTTACCATTATGTAACGAAATTCTGAAAGAAAAGAAAAGAAAAAGAAAATGGAAATAATATTGTCATCACATACCACCAACAACAACAAATGAAGAAGTTATCCAGTTGTTTTATCGTAACAAAAAACAACAACAAATAACCTCAACAAAAACATGATAATAGTTTCCGGGAAGATTTTTTTTGACGAAAAATTTTTTCTGAAAAAAAAACATTCGAAAATGAGAATTCATCAAATTCTTGCATCGAATTCATCATATAAGAATATTTTGTTTAAATTGAAAAAACTGATGATGATCATCAACATGTTATTGTACACGTAATTTTGGGAGAAAAAAAATGGCAATTCGTGACAATCATTGGCCATGGATGATTGGAAAACGAAACAAAAAAAATTGAATAGACAAACAAATTCCCTCATATCATCATCATTATCAGCGATTCTGTAATGATGATTGCTGCTCAACCGATAAGCTCAAAATGAAAAAAAAAGCAAAACGATCAATAAATTTTTTAAAATTGAATTGTTTACTTCGATATAAAACGAAAATATCCATTCATTCATTTTGGATAAAATAATGTTTTTTTTTTTTATAAAAATCCAAAAAACAGTGATTCCCGAGCAAATGGAAATGTAAATAAATAAATGTAATGCATGAATGAATCAATCCGGATACGGGATAGGTAAAAATAGCGAAAGATAGATAAATAAATAATTTCATTTGATAAATAAATAAATTGAATTAAACAAAAAATTCAAAAAAAAAATTACCTTAGAAAATCACTTTGGCAACAACAACTAAAAAAATTCAATTACCATTCCAAGATAAAAATCGATTTGTATTGGAATTGAATCTCATCTCTCTCTCCATATCAGGAAGCGAACAAAAAATAAAAATAAATTTAATCGAAAATTTACTAATCGACATACAAATTCTGTGTGTTTTTGACTTCTTTTTTGCAATTCAGTTTTGAAAATAGTAAACTCGAAACACAAAACAAACATTTTTAAAGTATCATTTTTATCCGGGAAAGGTTTGTTAATTGTTTTTTTTTTGACCAAAAGATATCCACAAACAAAAAAAAACTTTCCGAATGTCAAATAGAAATTATTTTTATTATTAGTGACCATTTTTTTATAAGATAAAAGTCACACACACACACAAAAAACAAACAAACAAAACAATGCCAACATTAATATACTTTTCTTTTTTTTGGTAGCATCAAAAAGAAAAGAAAAGAAACTTTTTCGTTATTTTTTAATGTCGTTTTCTTTTCAACTCAATAATTTAATTCAATTGAAATGAAAAAAAAAACAGAAAAAATCCATGTAAGTTTTTTTTGTGTGTGTGTGTGTCAAGTTTTAAACTTTATTATCTTAACGATATGTTCCAAACGGGTAAGAATCAACTGTCATTATACAGAATTAGTAAATGTACAATGTGTGTGTGTGTGTATGTTTGTGTCCGCGTAACAACAACCATATTATATTGACAATTTGATGTTTTACAGAAAAAAAATGTTGGGGCTAATTGGAAAATAAGAAAGAAAGAAAAAAAAACATACAGAACATATATTAAAACACATGAATTATTTGTTTGGATAATTTTTATTTCTTTTGCTTACTTTCTGGCTATTTCAAGGAATCCATTTTGTGTTTGTTTTCCGGATTTTTTTTCATTTTCATGATATAACATTAAAAATTGGGATAAAAGATGAAAAATCCATCCATAACGCCATGATGATGGTGAATATTATTCGGCGTATTCATAAAAAACTAAAGGTTGAATTGCCATTTGAAACTATACATTATATATCGAAATGATACACGAAAAAAATTAATGTTATAAAACAAGATAGTTGACATAACTAACCTCCATATCTATTTTCGGTATGTTCATCATTGATTTACAAAGATCAATTGTGAACTATATAATAAGATGGACATAGACAAAAACATAAGAATTAAAAATTCAGAAAAGAATGATTGAAAAAAAACTGACCGAATCTATGCCAAAATTTTTAGCATAGGCAAGAAAAAAATGAGCCAGATAATATAGAGAACCATATGGTAGTTCACGCCAAACAATATTTGCTATTGGTTCGATCGCTTGTTTAAAATTATGACGAATTCGACTGGAATCAATAGATTCGTCAGGTTTTAATAGTCCATTTTTTATTTTGATCAATATAAATAATAACCAGAATAAATGTAAATGTTGGCCAGTTTTTTTACACTTTTCATATGGCATCATCAACATTAGCTGAGAAAATGTATCGATAACACAGATAATCTTATTAGCTTTCATTGATTCATCAGTGAAATATTTTTCAATACATTCATCTAAAATATTGGAATTATGCCAACGAAAAATATATTGAAAAAAATAGCAGAACATATTATCGGATGATGATTTGGATGATGAAAATTGATGAAAAACTTGTTCAAATAATTTACGAAAATAATCCTCAATTTTGAACAAACGACCATAATTGATAAATTTTGTTTGCACACTGGAATTCGTGCCTAATTTTAGATGAAGACGATATACGCTTTTCAATGAAAGCAAACTATACAATTGAGATAGTAATAATTCCATAATTCTATAGCTATTTTCGTCATCATCATCATCATTTTGTTCATAATATTGATTTTGATTGGGCCAACAACAAAATTGATTCAATAAATCCATACATTTTACTTGACATATTAGAATAGTTTCTAAAAGTTGTGCAAATTTTTCAAGATCATGATCAAATATATCGAAAATTTCAATTATGCCCATAATCAATATGGCTAACAATTGGCTTTGTAACTGTGATTTTGATTGAATCGTTGGATTTTGTAATAGAATACAAAAATGATATGGAATTGAATCGATCAGTTCAATAGCAATTGAATTGATTGTTGTTGAATTTTTCAAATTATGTATGGCAATTTTTTGTACCAACAATACAAATATAAATGGAATGGCTGAATTGTTCAATAAATTTTCTTTCGAATGATTGACTTGAATCATCTCGTTTAGGAATAAATTTATATATCTTTCTAGAATTCCTGTATCATTGATAAACATATTATTGGTAGTAGTAAAAATTTGATCAATACGAGCTTGTTGGACAAATATTTCGATCAATTGACTAAATTTACATATACAGCTGTGTAAGTCTTGACTTGTTTCACTTTTATCCAATTCATCGTATATAAATTTAACAATACCGAATGGATCACCATGATTTTGAAATATTTTCTTCGAATTTATTTTCGATTTTGAAGTTGATTCAAAAATTTTATCGAAACATTGACCAATTCGTATGGATTGATTTTTTTGAAATAAATATCGACTTTGATCAATTTTTTCAGGCAAAAAAGCTTCTTGACATTTGGGTGGCTCATTCGTTTTGTTTTCCTTTGAAAAATTAGAATCATCAACTTCTTGAATCATTGGTTCTAGATTGACATCACAAGATTTTGCCAATTTTTTTACATAAAGATTGATTTTTGCATAATTTTTATGAATTTTATCAAATGCATTCGCTTTTTGAATAGTTACAGTGGATAAATCGAGATCAGTATCAACTTTATTATCTTGATTATTCTTGTTGTCAGTTTCTTTTTTGGTTTTCCTCGTGGACTTGGATTTTTTGGGGGGTGTTGATTTGTTTATTTTAATCGGTGGCTTAGGTTTTGCTGGAACATGTTTGACAGAAGGTTTTGCTTGTGACAGTCGTTGGGGTCTTCGAACATTTCGTGTTGATGGAACATTGGAAGATACCGTATCACAACCAGATCGAAGTTTCATTATTTCACCGCGAAAATCTACTGCAAATAAAATTTAAAATAAATTTTGTTGAATATTTTCACATGTGAGTGTATCGATGTTATGAAAAAGCTTGTTGCTCACCATGTTGTGATTTTTCTCCATAAATGTCGTATGATGTTGTAGCCGATGGTTGCTTCAATGTTCTCTCGTTGTGATGATTATTTAATTTAGCTTGGTCATTTTGAATGTTTGATGATGATGATGATAATTGTAATGAATCAATATTTTTGTCTTGATTTAAAATATTGAAAAAATTTGTTATTTTTATCTGTTTTCCATGTTTCGATTTTTTATCAATATCTGTAAATGAAGAATTTCGTTCAAAATGAAAATGAAATCATAATAAGCTGATAATTTTCAAATTTAGAAAAAAAAACTTACTATCATTATCATCATCATCACTAATGGAAGAAAATTTACCCTTATCACAGGTTTTTCTATTATTAATTGTCGACATTGTTATGAAATTTAAGAAAAAATAAACAAAATTAAATTAGGAATTACAAATTGGAAAACAGAAAAAAAATTATTGCATCAATCGAATATGTGTGACGGATATTCGATTCGAAAAAAAAGTGGGTAAAAAAAATTATTTCCAAATTTCACTATAAAAGGTCACTGTTGTGTAAATAGATTCGAATACTGATCATCAAATACATATGTATGATCAATGTGAGTGAATGTTTTATGTTTGTTTTTTCTTGGTAAATTATGTTGACAATATTGATCCCAATAAAATCATCATCATAATCATCATTGGAGAATTGAAAATCATCAATTTTGATGATATAAAGATGAAATGAATAATTTATGAATCCAAAAAAAAACATAGGAAATAGGAGAATAGTAAAAACAAAAAAAAAATTCTATCTTATTACGATGTTTGTTTATTTTTCATGTAATTCAAATTGGTAAACGAAAAAAAATGATTCGGATCGATTCATTCGATGAACCATAATAACCATGATAAATAATTTGATGAGATTTTTTTTTATTAAATGAATTCCATTTCATTCAACGAAAATCCAGTGACAAGAAAAAAATTTTCAAGCAATCAAAATTCGTCAAAGCAAAACATCGAAACAAATTCGGCTTGATTCGTGAACAAAAAAGCTTTTCATTTTCAATTTTTTTCTTCGAAAATCAGCTTAAATCATCCCTTTCAGATTAACAAAATTCTTCACAATTTTGAATGATAAAAATTCAGAATTATTTTCATTTTGTTCCAATTATAAATACAACGAGAGAAATCATACTAATCATCATCATCATTTGATCCTCTTTTAAAAAATTTCATTTCAATTGTTTATTTGTTTTCAAAATTTCACATTCATTTTCACCAAAAAAAAATCTATTTAACGGATATAAATCCCAATGAATGATGCAAAAAAAGAAGATAAATTTAAAAATTTTCGATTCAATTTCCAGAATTCCAAAATTTCTCAAATGCAATCCTGAAGTGTTTTGTTTGTTGATAATATTGCCGTTGGATACATAGATCTTTTTGTGTGATACATTTTGTTGTTCAAATGTTCAAATCGATCGATTTTATTCATTCAATTTCATTCAACTCTTACATTTGTTGTAGTTTTCGTTTTTTAAATTTTTTTTTCAAGTAACAATTTCAAAATTTTTCTTTTTTCCCGAGCTAAGAAGAATCACTCTTACTCAACAGAACAGAAAAATCGTCTCATCATCATTATGATTATTGGTTGGTTGGTTGGTTGGCTGGTTTTGTTGTTGTTTTTTGGGGGGAAAAAGAATCCATCTACTCTATCTATCTATCTATCTGCGGATAATTTATTCGTGAATGAATTGTGTATATGGATGAATGAATGAATGAATGACAAGTAACGGATTCGGATGAGTAGAAATACGAAAAAAAACATGAAATTGAAACATCAATGTGAAAACAACAACAACAACAACATTGATTCGTATTTATTTATCTGATGTAAGATAAACATGAAATGGAGAAAAAAAAAGTTGAAATTTATTTAAAGCTTTACTTGATTCTTTTCTCAACAACAACAACATTCTTTAATATTGGGTAAATTCTTTTACAGAGACAGAAACGAATGAATATGCCATTTACAAAAAAAAAATTCAAATTTTCTACAAAAAAAATGAACATACGATATATACGGATCATCAATTTTTTTTTTCGAACACAATATTTCGAATGTTTTTATCTCATTTTACATATTTGGATTTTCTGAGTAAAAAATTTGTTTGTTTGTGTTATTTGTTTTTCTAATCGAATATTCCAATTATTTTGTTTCATTCATCTAAGATCATCATCAATGAAGCAAAACTTTTGATCTTTTTGTTTTTGTTTCAAATGAAGCCAAAAAAAAAAAAAAAAAAAATAATGATGAAGAATCTAATTGAAATTAATTATCAAAAATCGACTTGAAATCGATTCTGTATAGCAACAAACGAAAAAAGAAGGAGGTCAAAATAGCTAATAGAAAAACGGCTACAAAAAACAATGATGATGATCTTTATTAGTATTTTGAACAAAAAAAAATCAAATGACATCATCATCATCATTGATGATGATAATCATATTAGCCAAATCGAACATCAATGGTGGTTGGTTGNTTTCGAACACAATATTTCGAATGTTTTTTTCTCATTTTACATATTTGAAAATGTTTTTATTTGGATTTTTTTTTTTTTTTGGTGAAAAAATTTGTTTTTTTTTCTGTAAAATCTTGTAATTTGTTTGTGTTATTTGTTTTTCTAATCGAATATTCCAATTATTTTTGTTGCATTCATCTAAGATCATCATCAATGAAGCAAAACTTTTGATCTTTTTGTTTTGTTTCAAATGAAGCCAGAAACAAAACAAACAAAAAAAAATAATGATGAAGAATCTAATTGAAATTAATTATCAATAATCGACTTGAAATCGATTCTGTATAGCAGCAACAATAACAAACGAAAAAAAAAGAAGGAGGTCAAATAGCTAATAGAAAAAACGGCTACAAAAAAACAATGATGATGATCTTTATTAGTATTTTGAACAAAAAAAAAAATCAAATGACATCATCATCATTGATGATGATAATCATATTAGCCAAATCGAACATCAATGGTGGTTGGTTGGTTGGTTGGTTGTGATGTAACCCACCACTTTATGAACGCAATATCCATTTCCATCGAAACAACAACAACCAAAAAAACCAAAGACGTTCGAAATCAATTTGATTCCGTTCGAATTCGAATGTTTTTTTTTTCTTCTGTTGCTCGATACACGTCCCTAAATTGATCGAAAGTTTTGTTTTTTGTTTAACTTATAATCATGATGATGATGATGATCAAAATGAGCAAAAAACAAAACATTATGTAGAATTGTGCTTATGATTACAAAACTATTAAATAATGTCCAAAATAACATCATCATCATCAACAACAACAACAACAGAAAACGACAATGTTAATTGAATCTAAATTGTGATTATACATAAACTACATAGACAATAACAACAACAACCAAGACAACCAGAACAACAAAATAATAATAATAAAACACACACACATGCCGGACAAACAGAATTGTTGATCAAGAATTTTCACTAGTTATTCATTTCCATTATCCGTGTTTTTTGTTGTTTTTGTTGTTGTTAATCAAAAAAAATCGCTATAAGAATTACAAGGTTTTTTTCCTACAGATTTTGTTTTTTGTTTTTATCATTTTTTTCTTTTCTCTCCCTCAATATAAACACCCACACCAGCTAATGATAATAATCAATCACATAATAAGTAAATGATACACCATCCAAAAAAAACGCATGCATATAATGTATGTATGTAATCGAATCGAATCGAATGATACAAGAATGATAAATATTTATATGGACCAAAATACATTCATAATAACATCTTTATTTATTAGCCTATCTATCCATCTATCTATCCTCATTTGAAATTCTTCCATCATCATCATCGTCTTCGTCTTGGTCTTCGTCGTTTGTTTCATTTATACAATTTTCTTGCATAATAAATGTGGTTATTTCTTATTCTGTGTGATGTGTGTGTGTTTTGTATGTTTGTTTTGTTTTGTTTTTTTGTTTCATTTCAATTCTATTCACTTCTATAATATTTTATAATGGAAAATGAACATCAGAATTGATAATGATGATGATGATGATGAAGAATAATAGAAAAGTTTTCAGAATCTTTCATGAAGAAAGAATCATGGGTCAAACATTTTTGTTTTTTTTTTCTGTTTTTTCGTCGTTGTTGTTGAATTTCTAAAGAAAGCATCCTGTAATTATATCTTTTTTGTTTTGTTTTGTTCAAAAATGAATGTCCAGAATGTTCATTTTGTATCCATTTGCTCAAAAGAAAACCAAAAAAAAAAATTTATATCCCGAAAATCGGTAATTTGAGTATATTTTTATTATCAATTTAATTATTAAATAATTGAAACAACAAAAAGAAATATATCTTTTGAGAAAACGCCAACCAACCAACCAAATTTAATTAATATTCAACCAAAATGATTCGGGGTTAAAACATCTCAATTTTTCTGTAAATATTGATGAAATTTTATTAAAGATTTCATACATAAATACACCCATTTAACCCTTACACACCCACCCACACACTCATTGTGTTTTGTAAAGAAAAACAAACCATAAAAATAAAATTAGAGAATAAGAAGAAGAGAAAAAACTTCTGGAATTTTACTTTATTTTTCCTATACAGAATAAAAGAAAATGATTTGATCCCATTTGGGAATATAATCCGTATATACTGACTGACTGACTGTGTACCACAGTAGTTTTTTTTTCTTGTTGTCTGGATGTTTGTAAATTTCGTTTTGTTGTTGTTGTTCAGGGGGTTAAAAAACAAAGAGAGAGAGAGAGAAAAAAAGGGCTGTGTATTAGGTTTGTTGATTGAACTTTTTTGTTTTTGTTTTGTATAAATGAAAATGAATCTACTGCTTTTGCTGCTATATTTCGGGTTAGCGAGAAAATGTGATCGACTTTTTCCTTCGTTGTTCTTCGTTGTTGTTGATTAATCATAGCATCAATAAATAATATCGATCCATTTTTGATCCAAAAACAATGATAATCTATAAATGTTCTAAATAAATAGTGTTAGCTGTTGATGTAATTAATAAAGATATTGTATGTTCTTGTTGTTGTTGCTGCTGGAAATAACAACAACAACAACAACAAAGTATTGCGTTCAATTTGGAATTAAATTCTTGAGTTTAGAATGCATTATTTGCCACGCTGGCAATCCATGGAGAGAGAGAGAGTGTGTGTAAGATTGGAATCGGAATTGAGAAAAAATTCACATTATCATTATCAAGGGATAAATTCTTTGTGTTTTCCCCTTACTCAAATGACAAAAACGGTTTTTTTTCTTGGTTTTTCTTGGTTGTTTCATTTTCAAATGTGAAGCAAAATGACGAATCAATTGTTTTGTAATTTTTATCATTTTGAATGATAAAAATTTTTTTTCAATCGTTTTTCTCGAATTTTTTAATTCACGGTGAACACCATCAACAACAACAACAACAACAACGACGAAATGGAATTCAAGAATCAATGTTTTCTATTGAAAAACAGAAAATCAAATCAAAATCATCTGTTACGATCAATCTATTTTTATCATTATTATTATCATTACTTCTTTTTTTGGCTATCTCTCTGTGTCTGTATGACGACGAGAATCATTTTGATTTCCGTTCATTTTTATTTGAAGAATGAAAATTTTTTTCGATCAAAAATGAAGATGGCTTTCGAACATCTGTGCAAAACAATTTTCTATTATCATTTTAATGGTGAAAAAAAAATATTGAAAATTTGAAAAAATGAATTTTATTTTATTTTGCACCCGCCAAACCAAACAATATTTGATTTGGTTGTTTGGTAGCAGAGAAAAAAGAAAAATCCTTTTTTCACAAGTTTCAATTAAGAATTTTTATGCGTTTTTTTATTTCATTTGAATTTCAATGATAATTACCATGTGTAATGATTAACAGAATGCACACAACAAAAAAGAATTTTCGAATGAAAATATTCAAGCAAAACAACAGTAACGACACAAATCAATGGGTTTTGACAACTGCAAAAAAAACAATACAAAAAAGTTACAAATAAAGGGCAACGGAAAACCTATAGTTACGACTAATTAACCGCCAAGACTAGAAAAAAAACAAGAAATGAAAAAAAAACAATGACAAATATCACATCTGAAAAACTTAGAAATAATAAGATAGTGTTTCATTTCTTCCTGTGTGTGTGTGTTTTGTGCATTCAGTTGTTGTAGTTTACGGATGATAAGATTGAATACACAAGGAAAACATCTTCATTTTCAGTTTACATTCATTTCATTTACCATATCATCATCATCATCTTATGTAATTCTATGATGTTTTTTTTTTTCGTTTTGAAACATTTAAAACAATAATAATGTTATGTAATAATAGTCATTGTTTATAATGACTAACTAACAAAGACGACAGAGACACAGACAGAATGGAAGAAAAAAACAAAAACAAAAAAAAAGAGGTAAAATTCTTATATGTCTCAATGAATTTGTTATCAACCGTTTTTTTTTCTTCCGGAAAATATTTTCAGAAAACTTTTTGAGTTTTTTTTTCTTTAAAAAGTATAAGAAAGTTTTTGTGCCTGTCGAAAAACAAATTGCCCAACGTTACAGACAATCATCATTATTGTTATGATAAACAGTTTTTGCTTATAACCTTTCAGTTTAAAATGGATATTTCTTTCTTTAAAAAAAATCAATTGAAAAATTGAAACAAAAAAAACCAATAAAATATCTATATTTTAACTGTAACTTACTTACTCACTCACTCAGTTAGTTACACACTTATTTAAATCATCATTCGAATGATAGATATTTCAAATTGAAATGGGCAAAAAAGAAAATTCAGTTAATGTTTCTTCTCTTTTATATGCAAACAGACACACACACACACATAAACAATACCGATTGAATTTACAATAAAAGATTTTCAATTGAATGATGATCAAACAGCAGCAACTATACATTCTTTGTGTGAACCGAAAATTGAATAAATTGTTTCTGTGGCCAATTTTGATGATTATCATCATCGTATAATGGATCTCTTTTGGGGTTTTTTTCTCTATCTGATTAAATTTATTATCACCATTCATTTCAATGATGATTCCCTTATATGAATATAATGGAGAAAATGAAGAGAATATTTCATTTCACTTGTTTCTCTTCTGTCTGTCTGTTGTTTTGAATGATTACTTATGAGAGAAAATACCAAATTATCATTATAAAGAATCGCCTCTCGTTTGTTATTCTTGAAAAAATCATTATCGGATTCATTGTTGAAGAAAAAATTCATATTTAAATTATATTTTTTTTGTTATACTCATTACGAGAACCCAACAAAATTACAAAATTTTGTCGTTTTCATTTTACATTTTACAGATCATCAGATTTTCAGTAGATAATAAAGTTAAGAAATTGTTTTTTTCAGAGAAAAAACAAAAAGATAAATGTCTTTTCTTCTTCTTCCATATCTTTTACAGGAAATTCCGTTTTTTTTTTTGTAAATCTGACCATTTTTCTTTATTTTTGTATTTCCTGGCTCGAAAGAAAAAGATTTTTTGTCATTTTATTTTCGCTACATTCCATTCAGATATCTATTTTATCATTTTTAGACGAATATTGTGTATATAGTCATTGGAATTATGAACCACTAGATTTTTTGTTTTTTTCGCAATTGCTAACGGTTTTGATCAATGTTACAGGATGCTACAGGATTCTATTGTTTGAAAGATTTGCCGGTAAGAATTTTTTTTCTGGTTCTGTTTTTGGGTGAAAAAAAATCAAAATGTGTGAAACGAAGAAGTTTTCCCAAGTCAGACGACATTCCTGACGTTTACGATAATGTCCTCTCTCTCGATTGGTGTAACGATTTCAAAAAATTGAATCAGTTACAATTTGAACATCAAACGTGTTGTATCTCGATCAGAATTTTTGTGTGTGTGTGTGTGTGTGTGTGTGTGTGTGTGTGTGAAAAGTGATGTGTTATGATGTGGTAGTTTTTTTGTCGAAAAAATGGCTTTTATAATTGAAAATTTCAATTTTCAAATTATTCTGTTTATAATTTTAATAAATTTTAATTTAAAAATTTTATCAACAAAACAATATTATGATAATGAAAAACATGGACCAGAATTTCTTATAATACCATCATCAAAAATAACATTTATGAATGATACAGGAACGATATTAACCTGTAGTGTACGTGGACGGCCAACACCGAAAATATATTGGATTTATTCAACAACCGATATTGATAATAATGTTGGTGGTGGTCTAATAAATTCTCATCAACAAACAATAATACCTGTAGATGGTTTACAACAAATCCGTCAAGATACATTAACAACATCACAATTAATTTATTTACCATTTAAAGCTAATCAATATAGACAAGATTTACATTCAATTACAATTCGGTGTATTGCTACTAATCAATTTGGTTCAATACAAAGTCATAATATTCAAATACGTGCATGTAAGTGACAAAAAAAATGATTCTTTTAGGAAATATTTCCAGCAAAACAAAAAAATTGCATTATTCTTTTTCCAGAAATATTTCCCCATATAAATCAAATGAAACAACCAAAAAAAGCAAAAATAAGTTTTTCCGGTATTTTTTTCAAATTTCGACAATGTAGATAGGTCACTTGTAACAACAACAACAACAAAAACAGCTTAAAACCATTTCGTTGTTGTTGAAACAACAACAAAAAGTTAGAAAATCCAAGTGTGTACAGAAGAAGAAGGCAGATCATATCTAAAAACAACAACGATATTCAAAAACAAAACAAAAAAATCATTTCGGATGTTACTGATGATGATGGTCATAAATTATTCTTTAGCAAAGTTCTTCAATGTTTGGTTTCGGTTGAAAATGGCAACCGTGTTTTTTGTGTGTACTGAATGAATGAATAAATGTAAAATATTAATTTGAATGAAATTCTTCTTGAATCAAGAATGGAAACGAAAAAGAAAAAAAAAGTTTCCTAGGTTTTTTTTTGCCGTGAATCAAAAAACGAAAAAACTTTTTCTCTTGTTTTTTTGCCATTGATTATTGTTGTTTTTGCTATTTTGAACTGAATGTGTTTAAATAGAAAAGTTTTTCTTACGCTATTTCTACTCAAGAATTGTATTTAAAAGATAAGACATACACGAGGCATAGAAAGACTATAATTCTTCATTCTGATAAGAATCTTTGTTTCAAGCAAGAATTTTTCAAACAAAAATATATTTATCTCACTCTGTTTTACCATGCAAGCCCAAACATTTATCTTTGTGCCAAAAACAGCCAGGAAAAAATCATTTAAAATTTTGCTTTAATTTTTTTCTTTAAATAATAAATTTTTTATCATCTTTTTTTCCCAAAACGAAAAAATTATAATAGCCGTACGACAGCCATACGATATACAAGTTTATGATGATTTTGTTATCAAAGGAAATATTGGGGTAAGATTTTTTTTCGTTTCTTTTAAAAGAAAAAATTCTTCATTATCATATTTTGTTGTTGTTTGGTTGTTTTGATAAAAACTGATATAGATATTACGTTGTCATATACCGAATTTTGTTCGTGAAAATGTTCGTATTACAAATTGGTTACGGCATAGAGATGATAATGATAATGACGGTGCTGGTGGTGGTGGTGGTGATCAGATAATTACATCGGATCTTCTAAAAGGTCAGTGTTTTGGATTTTATTATTATTTTGCTAATTGAAATGGTTATCATGACAATTCCATTTGGAATTTCCATTTTTTCTTCTATGGTGCCAACAACTATGGTGTTGAATTATTGATCTAATTGATTAATCATTGATTCATGAAACAAACCAAAGAATTCTTCACCTCCCTCCCCTTCCCCTGAAAACCACAATCGAAATAATGTGAAAAAATATGATTCTGTAAAGAGAGAGAGAGAGAGAAAAGAAAAATAAATGGATATATTTCTCAACACCCAGAAACACACACACTTAGTGTTAAATATATAAAACAACTACTGTCGTTGACATTTGGATAGATTATTCTTTCTTTCTTTTTTGGGCAATGGTTACAAATTGACATTCATATAAATGTCATTACCAGATTATTTTTTTTACCATTTTTTGATGATTCATTTGTCATCATTTATCATTTATAAATATATAATGAATTCATTTTTTTTATTTCGTTTTTTTCTGGATTTTCCTGTATTTTTATTACCATCATTTTTATGAACTTATATCCATAAAAAAAATATATATTCAGGTGGCCGTTATAGTATAATGCCTAATGGTGATCTACATGTACATCATATTCAAATTGATAATGATAATGACCGATTACGATCAACATCATCATCATCATCGAAAACAGCTAGATTTCGTTGTCAAACAAAACATTTGCTCACTGGTGAAATAAAACAAAGTGCCAATTATGGACGACTTATTATCACTGGTAATCTGTCCAATTTTTAGGGTTAATATTATCTAATGATATTTATTTCTATTTTTATCAAGATGCTCAATCCAGAATGCCACCAAAAATTATTACCGCTACAATTGATAATCATAGCGGTAATCATCAAACTAATAATAGAAAACAAAAAGTGATAGCCAATTTGGGTGATATTATCGAGCTACCATGTATTGTACAAGCAAATCCTTGGCCAACATTTACCTGGTATCGTATTAACAATCATCAACTAAATTATCATAGAAATTCAAAGTTCAATGATCAACAATCATCATCATCTTTATTGCCGATTATGATTGGCGCAAAAAAATTTATTCAAATTGATAGTTCATTATTCATACACGATGTGTCACTACTGGACAATGGATTATATGTTTGTATTGCAAATAATTCATTGGGTCAAGATCGTATCGAAACGGAATTGATTGTTAAAGGTCAGTGAAAAAAAATTTTTAAACTCATTTACAAAAATAAATAAAATTTTCATCATCCTAGCATCAATGAATGTTCAAATGATACCGGAATTTATCAGAGCAACCGATGGCGATATTATTCAATTTAATTGTACAATTTCAATTGGAAATAATCATAATAATAATGATTATTTAATCGATTATCATATACGATGGTATCATAATACACGATTATTAACAACAATGATGATTCCGTCCACAACTAAATCAACATCAATCATTCAAGAGAATAAAGATTCAAGAATTCGATTACTTGAACATGATCGTATACTACAAATACGTAATGTTGGTCGTGATGATAAAGGAATGTTTGTAAGTAAAATTTTGATTTTGAAAAACAAAATTGAAAACAATATTCATTCGAAAATCATTTTAAGCAATGTATTGTTAGCAATGAATTTGAATCGGTTCAGGCTAGTGGTGAATTATCGATGGCTGATGATCCACCATCATTTGTATCTGTATTCAATATACCTGAACCATTAAGGCCGGGAAAATCATTATCTATGAAATGTTCAGCAATCGGTACACCATTACCACAGATTATTTGGACATTAGATGGTCAAACTTTAATCGATCATGGACGAATCAGGGTTGGTGATTATGTTAGTGCCGATAATATTGTAAATAGTTTTGTCAATATAACCACTTTACGAACTGAAGATGGTGGAATGTAAGTCCAAATTTTCATTTGTAAAAGGAAAATATTTGAAACAAAATAATTATTTTTAAAAAAATTAAAGTTATTCGTGTACAGCATCGAATGATATTCATTCGATTAGTCATTCAAGTCGAATCGATGTTTTTGGTCCAGCATCAGTTAAACCGATGAAAAATTTTACTGCCATTGCTGGTAATACTTTACAATTACATTGTCCAGCAGCTGGATATCCATTAGAATCGATTGAATGGTATAGAAAATCACCAGGTTTAGATGACATTCAATCATCCATTAATCGTTTACCACAAAATCATCGACAAAAATCTTTTCCAAATGGAACATTGATTATTGAACGTATTGAACGTGGATTGGATGATGGTGAATATCGTTGCATGGTTACAAGTGAATCAAATGTAGCTAGTGCTGATACTTTTATACGTGTATTAGTTGCACCAGTGATTAATCCATTTCATCCACCACCAAATCTTCGTGAAGGAATGCGTGTAATGCTTACCTGTTCAGTGGTTGAAGGTGATCCACCATTAGTGATACAATTTCTTAAAGATGGTATACCAATTTCAATGAAACAACAACAAACAACAAGTGCCTTAGATAATAATCACATTAAATTTGATAGAACTAATGATTATTCTGCAACATTATTCATTGAATCTGTTATGAATGAAGATTCTGGAAATTATAGCTGTATTGCATCAAATTTGGCAGCAATTGCAACCTATTCTATTTTTATGAAAGTCAATGGTAAACTTACTTGATTTTTTTGTTTGTTATTTTGTTTCATTTTAATTATTTAAAATTCAAGTTCCACCTAAATGGATAATCATACCCAAAGATACTGATGCTATTGAAGGACAAAATATTGCTATTGATTGTTCGGCAAGTGGTGATTCTAGAGTTTGGTGGGAACGTGCCTATGAAAAATCATTGCCAACACTTTCGAAATCCAATTCACAATCATCTGTTTTGATTAAAAATATTAGCAACCAAAATAATTTGAAACAATCAACAATGAATCATTTTCGTACGGTTGTCAGTAATTCACATATCCATACAGCCGAAAATGGAAGTTTAATTTTTCGTGATATTCAAGCTGAAGATTCAGGTGCTTATCTTTGTCAAGCAAATAATGGTGTTGGTTCTGGTCTAAGTAAGGTAATCAACTTAAACGTACATGGTTAGTTTTCGTTGATTAAATTTTTGATTGGTAAATGATTCATTGGATATTTTTTTCATAGTTCCTGCATATTTTAAAAATAAATTTTCATCACAAACTATTCGGCAAGGTGAATCTGTTGAATTTAGTTGTGAAGCTAATGGTGAATCTCCGATTGATATTCAGATTTCTAAGGATCAAACAGTTTTGGAATTTGTACCGAGAAATGATGATTATGCAAAAGTAGATTCTGTAGTAAAAATTCTTCATTCAGATAATCGTTATCGAATGGAACGAAAATTACGTAATGATCATGTATTTTATAGTGTTAGAATTGAACAAGTTGATCGTCGTGATTCATCATTATTCACTTGTGTAGCATCAAATCCATATGGAAAAGATGAATATAATTTTCAACTTATAGTTCAAGGTATTCAATTCAATGTGCTCATTATTTATAATTAACTATAATCAATTTATAGAACCACCAGAATCACCGGAAAATCTTCATGTTCTTGAACTTGAAAGTAGACGTGCAGTGATCACTTGGACTCAACCTTATTCTGGTAATAGTCCAATTATAGCATATCATATTGAATATCGATTGTGGATGGATTCAATAACACCTTGGTCCGGTGTTCATTCGATGTCTAATACTACAAAAACTGAACATTTTGATGATACTGTTATCACGTTACATAAATCTTTGCCACCTGGAACAGTTTATCGTAAAACATTACCAGGAATCGAAACATCGGTTGATATTAGATCATTACAGCCAATGTCAACATATGAATTTAGAGTTCAGGCTGAAAATCAATTAGGTTTAGGTCCATTTCAACTAACACCATTGAAAATAATGACCAAAGAAGAAGGTAATATTCGTTGTTTGTATTCTGCTCAATATTAAAAAACCTAATTCATTTTTTATTATTCAGCACCATCCGGACCACCATTAAATATTCGAGTGTTTCCGATCAGTGCTCACACATTACAGATTTCATTTCAGCCTCCACGATTAGAATATCAAAATGGTAAAATACTTGGTTATTATGTTGGTTATAAAGCAATCGATTTGGATGAACATTTTATGTTTAAAAAAATTGTTGAAGATAATCATTCTGTTCAGATGAAAGAGATCAAAATTAATGATCTACGTCGTGCTACTAAATATCTGATCATTGTACAGGCATTCAACCGAATTGGTCCGGGACCTCAATCCGAAGAAATTGTTGGTGAAACTCTAATCAATGATCCTCCAAAAGCTCCAATATTAACTTCCGTCAATATTGGTTATCATAGCGTTGAATTACAATGGTCGATTGAAACTATGGACGATTCATTCGATAAACATCCGTCGAAATTAGATGTACCCGAAATAACCGGATATTATCTTTATTCAAAATCACCTCAAGGCGATTGGGAAGAAAATCATATTAATTCATTGGAAAATTCTTTTAAATATAATAATCTACTTTGTGGAAATCAATATCAGGTATTTAACTAAATAAACATTCAGCAGATTTCAATATCCGATTTTTTTCTCATTCAGTTCTATGTGATTGCCTATAATAACATTGGAAAGGGTGATCCAAGTCAGGCAATTTCTGTACGCACTAAAGGTTCTGGTAATAATTTTTTGCTCAATTTGTATTTCATATATTTTGATAGTAACAATAATATTTATTTTTCAGTTCCTATTGCTCCGAAAAAAACCGAATCATTCATTACTGTAAATTCAACAGTAGCATGGATTCGTCTTGATCAATGGCTTGTAAATGGATGTGAAATTAAATATTTTCTTATCAAATATCGACCAAATAATAATAAAGAATGGTTGGCAATATCATCGAAAATATCACCGAATGAACAACGATTAGTTGAATTGATCGATCTACATCCGTCAACTTGGTATATATTAAATATGGCTGCCATTACAGATATTGGTACAACTGAAGAAACCTATTCATTTTCAACATTAACCATCAATGGAGGTTTTTATTATTAAATTTCACAAAAAAAACAAACAATTTTTTAATTTCCTTTTTATTTTTTATTTATTCAAAAGCAACATTATCACCATTGGATACAATATTAATGCAAACATCATCCGATATTGGTTATCCATCATCATCAAAAACATCAACAACAATGATGATTAATCCAATACAATCGATGACCATATTGGTACCGGCAACTTGTTCTGTGATAGTTTTAACTGTGATAATTTTAGTCGCTTGTTTTGTTATACGAATTAAACGACAACAATATTTTAATCCAACATTAAGAGATGGCGCACATGGGCCCGATGGTCCAAATTGTATGACAAATAATAATATTCCAATACAATCAACAATATCGAATCAAGGAAAAGAATTTAATCAAAATAATATTGATTATAATCTACCACGTTATTCACAACCAACAAATAATTTTGATCATTGTGGATTATGTAATATAAATACAGATGTTTCTTTATTAAAAACCGATTATCCTTCAAATCAAAATCGAAAAGAAAATATCGAAATGTTGGATAATGGTGGTGTAATGAATTCCGATTCCGATTATGTTACATTAAACAATCCTATCCAAATTATGCGTACACAACGAACGGCCGATATTAAATCATCAAATCTTCGTTCAACACATCATCCAATGTCGATAATGAAATCTACAATCAATAAATCAAATCATCATAGATTTTCGATGAAAAATCAAACCAATAACAACAATTCGAATGTTAATAATCCAAATAATAATAATACTGCCAATATAAAACCAAACATATCGCCAATGATTTGGTTATTAGTAAGCTGTTGGAAATTGAATCTTGTGATTAATTGATTACAAATTCCGAAGAAATATCTATAGCCGAGCAAAAATGTTCACTTTCCAAAGAATTGTTTTATGATTCAAATATTTTTTTTCTCTCCTTGAAATGATTTTGTGCCAAATCTCAATAAACATTAATTGCCAAAAATAATCAAACAAAAATAATAAAAAATTTGACAATGTTTTTCCAATGTTGCTGGTTTGTTGTTGAAAAAATTTTGCCGATTTTATGATTTTATTTTGATGAAAATCATAAAACTTGGATCTTGGAACACCCAAGGAAAAAAACTCGAGAGTGGGAACTTTGTTTTAAAGTTATAAAAATTTTTATGGAAAAAAAAGTGAGCCGATTTGAATGATTTCTCCCAAATCATAAATTTATTCAAAATTCCAATATTTTTCTCTCTCTTTTACTGTTCACCAAAAAATCACCATCATGTTTTACTGCGTGTGTCATAATAATGAAAATGTTTGTCATAAACGTAATTTGATAACTTGAGATTTTCAAATTTTCACTGTTGTTGTTGTAAATAAATGCGGCAAAACGAAAACAAAAACAAAAAAAAAAACAATTTACATTTCAACGTTAAATCAATGAATGATTGTCGGCTGAATAATTTTCTTTTGAATAAAATTCTTGTTTTGTTTGTCAAGCGACAAGTTTGCAGCCAACATGTTTTTCAATAAAAAAAATTAAATAAAAAAGTTTTTTAAACCTAAGAAAAACAATCATCTTGCCTTGTCTACTGATTTTCCTGAAGCCCATGTTTTCTCTATGTTTGACCATGGCTGATATGAATCGGGCAATAAATATGGTTGGGCAAATAAAGACTGAATACTAAAAACCAACTACCACAGACTTGGGTCGACCAATGTGTCAAACACCAACCAACCAACTAAGCTGCTGTTCAATGATCATATTATTATCATTTTTAAAAAAATTCGTGATTCAAATGTGAATGAGTTGGAAAAAAAAACCACACACAAACACAATATATTAAAGCTAATAAGCAAAAAAAGTCTTTATCTGATCGTTTTGTTGTCAAATTTGAAAAAAAGAAAAGAAACTTTAGAAATTCAATTAATTCATTACGAATTAAGATATTCACTCATTTGAGTTGTGGAAAGTTGAACTAAATGAAAACGAAAATTCAATCACGATTCACATTATGGTGATCATATAGCTCACCCACGCTTACAAACACTTTAAAGAATCTAGATTTGCTTTTTTATTATAATTGCATAAGATATCAACAGGTTAAACGAAAAAAATGCTTCAACCAAGGTGGCCAAAGTCATTTACCGATCAGAAAAGGAATGATGATGATGATGATAACTATAATTATATATTCATAGCCTTAATGATGTCAACAACAACAACAAAAACAAAAAAGTTTCTGCAAAAAAAAATATTACCAGTGGTCATTTTTTATTCATTTATTCTGATGCAATTTTCAAATTGCAAACTTTTGTTTTTATTTATCAGATTTTTTGTTTTGTCCGAAGACATAACATGAATATTTTATAACCTTGCCAAGTTATAAAAAGAAAAGAATAAATCACAACAATTTCTTCGATATTTACAAATCCTGGATGTAGAGATAGAAAATATTATTATCATCGAATGTGTGATAAACATTAATGGAATGTCAGTAATGATGATGGTGGTAGTTTGGGTTATATTGATGGTTTCTTTCTTTCATTCTTTTAATGTTAAAGCAACGAAAAAAATTTATCAAACAAACATAGCATAAATATGGTCTTTAAATGATCTTAAATGCAAACAAACCAAACCAACCTAAGATCAAATTGCCAATTTTTTTTTGTTCTTTCGTTTGTTGATTCTTGGGTCAGGCTTGTGATTTTTCTGTTGTTGATCTGGTACGAGAATAGAACCCAGATATACTTTCTTATATTTGCTGTCGAAAATTGAATAGACCGGATAGATTTTTAGGGGGTTGTTCATTCATTCATTCATTGATTGTTTATCACACATTGACCATTATTATCAGCAATTTTTCTTTTCAAACGAAGAAGAAAAAAAAAATTTCCTTCCTTACCTTCTATTGTAAATCTTTTAGTCTACATACACACTGTTAGACACACAATTCTAATCTTGACAATGGAAAATCCGATTGATAGATTGAAGAAAGAAAGAAAATTTTGGTCCATAATGTTTTCGAAACCTATCATTATATCTTGATTGTTCACAAAAAAATGATTATATTTCATTTTGATCATACTCCAAACACACATAGTCAATCTTTTTTCTCTAGTTTCTTCATTAGGTCAAAGTCCATAGTATGAAAAATGAAACTTTGAAAGATTATTTTCATTTTTGTTGACCAGCCCCGGTTGTGCCACACCTCACCTCGCAACTTTGAAAGAAAATTACAGCAAAAAAATAACATCATTAATGATCATCAAAACTATCATCATCATAATTTGAATGTTAAATATAGTTTTTTTTTGGCAACAAAATTAGCCAAAAAATCGGTTCTTTTTTTTAATGAAGCGAAAACTTGGTTTTTCAATTTTCTTTAGCGAAAATTGTTGGACAGCAAACAAATTTCTGAAACATACTACTGGCCCAAATAATTGAAATTGGATCATTTTTGTTGTTGTTGTTGTCCTGCAAATAGAATCGTAGAAACTGGAATAATCAACAACAACAACAAATCTAATTCAATTTGTTTATCCAACATTGACACATTTATATGATTATGATGATGATAAACAAATAAATAAACAGACGACGAAAGTAGTTTACATTTTCATTGTAAACACTCCAAAAGCTAATCAACCAGGGAAAAAAATGAATCAAGTTCTCATTGAAAATCAAATGGAGTGATATAGTGAAAAATGAAACATTTACTTTCCCATGAACACTATGTATTCCATAACGAATCGAAAATTGAAAATCATAACGGTGGCGGTGATGATCTATGTGTGAGAACCCAGAAAAAAACCCAAATGAATATGAAAAGTGGATAGCTCTCTTCATGTTGGGTTAATTAATCCCATTTGAGAATAGAACAAAAATAACCCAAAGAATTTCGGGTATCCATCTGCCAATGCAACATTGTACGCGTGCGGTTATTATTGTTATTGTTGGAACAAGTGAAATATATTGAATCAGGTGTACCCCCTCCACAACCAAACAAAAATTTTTTTCCCAAAATAACCCTGACAGATTGATGATGTTTATGGAAATATATTTTTTTCCATTTTGATATATTCGTGGAAAACTATTCGAAAATTGGTTCTCATGATCAACAACGATTACACAAATTTTACATTAGAGAATTGAAAACAGAAAAAAATTTTATGATTCAATTATTAATATAAGCTAAGCAAAAACAAAAAGAAAGAGAACCCAGAAAAAGTGAATTCAATTTTCAAGTCACGTGTTGATGTCCATAAATTCGTGATATTAGATTAATAATGAAAATGCAAGAAAATATTTGAATAAAAATTTCATTTTTTAACCTAACCAAATTAGATTTTGTTTGGTGAATTTTGTCCACGTGACCAAGTTGAAAAAGAAAATATATTTTCTTTTCTCATGCAGTTTCAGTTACTTAATTTTCATTAGCAATGATCAATCAAATATTCATTGAAGAAAAAACAAAATAGACATTCTGGCATCTTGATGGTGAAGGCCTTTGACCTTTTAGCTTGATATTTATCCATCTGGAAATCTTATTCGATTGATTCTGTAATTAAAAAAGATTAAAAATTGTCAAAATGTCCTTCGAGAAGAAAAAAAAACCTAATTAATTTAAATCAAATGATTTTTATCATTGTCGCCTTGCTAGCTCGACATTTTAAGCATCGTTGTTTTATCTCTTCAAAAAAATCAAATCAAATATTCACCAACATCAGCGAAAAGCCAAAAAGTAGTTGAACAAGAATTCATCATTCATCATGAAATGATTATAAATTAATTCGTTATCATCGTCAATTTATCAATCATTTAAGGATTTAATTTTTTTTTTCATTTGAAATGTTAAAATCAAATTAATGATGATGATTGACAGGACAAAAAAAATAGTTAGCAGAAAAATTCATTTCTGTCTGTCAATCAAGTGTCTGTCATTCATTCAGTCAGTCAAATGATGCTTATCCAACGGAAAAAATGAGAAAAATTCCTTCGGGATTTTTTTCCGGTCAAGTTTTTTTCTTCAGTTTATCATCACTTTCAAATACCTGTTTTTTGGTCTATTTTATGGTTTTAAATAAATATGAATAATAAAAACCAAAGAAAAACTGAAAGAAATTTAAATTCAATTTCTCTGACGAAAAACGAATAAAATTTTTCATGGTTTAATTCCAACAACATGATCATAATGCTTGCCATATGGAAAATAATGTGATTTATCTTTTTTCGATGATGGTATGGTAATATCATCATCACCATTATTATTTTTGCATCATTTTTAAAGGTGAAATGATGATAATTCGTTTGTTTGTTCGGTGTTTATATTTAGTCAAAGTAAAAGTCAGTTTGGTTTTTCTGTTTTTCTAAGCCATTTTTGGTTTTGTTTGATGCCATAAATTCAAGTTAACAAAAAATGATGGTAAGAAGAAAAAAAGATGAGTTTTTTTCTGCTTAAAATTCAAGTTTTTTTTCATCTCGTTCTTCTGGAAAATCTGCTTCAATATATGGTGAACCCTCTTTCTTGCTGTGCTTGATAAATGTCCAGGATTTAATTTTTTTTTTGTTTTTTGTTTCAAACAGGTGATTTACCTTTATCATTTTCTTTTAAGAAAAAGAAGGATTTTCATTTTCCAGGAATTTCTTATCTTTCTCTTGTTCTCATTGAATTCGAATTCAAAATCCAAAATCAATGAATTTTGGTCAAGTTTTCTTCATAAATTTAAAGACAAAAATGAAGATAAAGAAAACGAAAACGAAAAGCCAATGATCAGACCACAATCATCATCATCCATATTATCGTGTTATTGATGATTTATGGATCAAACTAATACAGACAAACACACGGATTCTGATGATAATATAATGATACCGCACCGAACACATCGTGATTATTTNTTTTTTGGTCTATTTTATGGTTTTAAATAAATATGAATAATAAAAACCAAAGAAAAAAAAATTTAAATTCAATTTCTCTGTTTGACGAAAAACGAATAAAATTTTTCATGGTTTAATTCCAACAACATGATCATATTTTTTTTCTGGTCATATGGAAAATAATGTGATTTATCTTTTTTCAATGATGGTATGGTGATATCATCACCATTATTATTATTATTGCATCATTTTTTTTTTGAGGTAAAATTCGTTTGTTTGTTCGGCAAAGTAAAAGTCAGTTTAGTTTTTCTGTTTTTCTAAGCCATTTGTGTTTGGTTTTGGTTTGATGCCATAAATTCATGTAAAAAAATGATGGCAAGAAGAAAAAAAGTTGATTTTTTTTCTGCTTAAAATTCAAGTTTTTTTTATCTTGTTCTTCTGGAAAATCTGCTTCAATATATGGTGAACCCTCTTTCTTGTTGTGCTTGATAAATGTCCAGGATTTAAATTTTTTTGTTTTTTGTTTCAAACAGGTGATTTACCTTTATCATTTTCTTTTAAAAAAGAAGGATTTTCATTTTCCAGGAATCTCTCTCTCTTATTCTCATTTAATTCAAATTCAAATTCCAAAATCAATGAATTTTGGTCAAGTTTCCTTCATAAATTTAAAGACAAAAATGAAGATAAAGAAAACGAACGAAAAATCAATGATAATAAGACCACAATCATCATCATCCTTATTATCGTGTTATTGATGATTTATGGATCAAACTAATACAGACAAACACACGGATTCTGATGATAATATAATGATACCGCACCGAACACATCGTGATTATTTCAACAAAAAAAAAATTTCTTTATTTTACTTTGCTTTTCAGACTAGCAAATACAAAAAAAATTGATACACGCAACCTAACTAACAACGAAATTTTATCAATAAAAAATTTTAGCCACGCCAGTGAAACGAAGACAAAATTATCGTTAAAATACATACAGCCGTCAGTCAGTCAGTCATATCATTGTTGATTAAAAGAAGAAAAAAAAAGAAAAACTTCGAGAAAAGAAAGTAAGGAAAAACAAAGTCTGAACCAGTCGCCAGTCGTGTGTTTAGTGTGCATTGAAGATTCGTACCATTCAAATAGGATTTTGTCTCGTGCCAGCACACACTCACACACTGGTATGGTTTGGTTTGTTTCGGGTCATCGTCATACACCAACAAAAAAATATCATCTACCAACATCACCAATCATTTCAGTTGATCCATTGAATGTTTCGAAACAAAATATATAAATAACGCATCTGTCAAATATTACAATAATCGGGTATAGACTAAAAATAATCGGGAAATATTGAAAATATTAACCGACCTGACTACAAAACAGACGACAATCAACCGACCGACCTAATGAAAATTGAATCTATTTTTTTCCCAAAAAAAAGTCAATATTTTCCCTTCTACCATCCATCCACATACATACATACATCCAACCAGTGAATATGATATAACAACTCGGGTCATATAAATTGTGTTTCTGTTTGTGTGTGAATACGAATTGGCCGTAGGGACCAAAAAACGTGCTGCATGGTTTTATTTGACATTTACCGACTTGTTTTATTTTTCACATGCATTTGTATGCCAAAAAAGAATAAATAAATATGAATGTTCACGTGACCTCGTGCACTTGATTACTTTTTATGATTCTAATTTTTTATTCCTACGTTCGCATTTTGTTTAAATCATTTCTGTTATTGTTGTTGCTGTTGTCGCTGTTACAAGTGTGTGTCGGGCTAATATTAATTATTATATCAAAGAACCGATGGTCCGACCCATTTTTTTTTTGTTTGGGAAAATTGTTTTTTTTCCTGAAAATTAATTTTGGATCTACAGAACCAAAAGCCAAGCCGAAATGACAACAGAATCGAGCTAGTCAATGATGATATAAAAAGCTTTGAAACATTTTCAAATTTTCTTCATTTTAAATTTTCGACGACGAAAACGAAACAACAGCAAATTTCTTTTGATAGAATCATTCAAAATCATAAAAAAAATATGCCTAGACCATTTATAATTGAAAATTTTTCATCAAATCAATCAACAAATATTGAAAATGATAATAATTCAATAATGGCTAAACAAAATATTTCAAATTATTATAAACAAATATCCATTGTAATTGTAAAACTTTTCCTATCAATTTGTTTTCTTTTATGTTTATATTTTCTGATTGTTTGTGTACGAACACATAATATTCATCAAATCAACGATAAAGAAGATGATAATAATTTAAATTTTTCAACAAATAATCAACCAAATCAACCGGATAGATTGATTCAAATGATAACAACAACAACAACAGCGGCTGAATCAAATCGACGACAACCAAAATCAATAAAATTATCTCGAATATTACATTCATATCGTCATAATCCATCTAAACAACAAAAAATTTTTAAAGAAGATGATGATGATAATAATAATGGTCAAGATGAAATTCAAATCAATAATTTACGTCAACAATATTCAATAGCTGAAAAAAATGTTCGATCAAAATCCAATGATAATATTGATGATTATAATGATTGTGGATATCATTTAGCATTTACATTGATTGAACGTGAAAATAATGAACATTTATATGCATCAAAATTAATGATAAAATTTAGCAATACTTTAAAATCAATATTAATCAATATTAATTCAACTGGTTTAGATCCAGGTTCACTTTGTATACATTTAATTACTAATGATCGTATACGACCACATCTTTTACATATAATCGATAATGTACATGAAGAATTAACACGTCAATGGACAAATGAACCATATCCATGGTTAGATAATTATAATAATAATAATCATTATTCGTTAAATGATTATGATAAACATCGTCCATTAACAAGATATTTTTTTATTGATTCATCTACAATTGAATTACGTTTAGAATATCTTTTACCAACATTACGAACATTTTTTACACATAAACCAAATTCATATTATTCAAATGCATTATTTTTTTATTCAATGATTTTACATCAAGTTATACCATCAACAATTGCTGATCGTATTATTCTATTAGATGTTGATGTACAATTGGATGCAAATATTCTTGAATTATTTGAAGAATTTGGTCGTTTTAAACCAGAAGAAGTGATTGGTATTGCATTAGAACAACAACCAGTTTATCGGTAAGTTAAAATTAAAAAGTTGTTTTTCTTTTTTACAATAAAAGATTCTAATCAATGTTTGTTTCTAATAGACATATTTTACATGAATATCGTCGTACAAATGAAAATACAACAATTGGTTCACCATTACCAAACGGATTTCCTGGTTTTAATTCCGGTATTGTTTTACTACATTTGCGTAAAATGCGTGAATCAAAATTATACAATTCATTATTGAATCAAGATGTAATAAAACATATTTGTCAAAAATATCAATTCCATGGACATTTAGGTGATCAAGATTTTTATACAATAACAGCTATTGATCATCGTTTATTATATCATACATTATCATGTGGTTGGAATCGTCAATTATGTCAATGGTGGCGTTTTCATGGTTATTCAAATGTATTTGATGATTATCATCGTTGTGAACAGCCAATTATGTTATATCATGGTAATTGTAATTCAGCACTTCCTACCTTAACCTATTATGGTGGTGGTGGTGGCAGTGGATATCGTCGAAGATAATTATCTCATTACTAATTATGTTTATTTTATTTTTCATATGAATCTCAATTCTTTTCTTTTGTTTGTTTTTATTTTGTGACTTTGAAAATCACAAAAATTTAAATGTGATATTCTTATTTACGTCTAATGTTATTTGTATAATAAAAAATCCTTATTTTTTATGAAAAGATGAAATTCATTTATTTGCTTTAATTTTTGTAAATTCTTCGTATGGAAAATAGCTTTTGAGCGAAAACATTTTGAAAATGAAAACAAGTTTGAAAATAAAAAAACTCATACCGAGTTTGAAATTCTACCACAAGATGGCAAAAGATTCGCTATCGTCCATTTTGATCCTGGCATGTGTCATTATGTTTAAATAGAAAAACATTCGCAACTTGCTCGCGAATTTTTGAATTTTTCGGTTATATGATCAAAACAAATTTAACAAAACCATCAAAACAAAATGGAATCATCAACATATCCATCGAATTCGGCCATATCTGCAAGAAGAAAAGTTTTATTTGCAGCGATATCTGCTACTTGTCAAGAAATTGGTTTTCATTCAGCAGATAATTATGTTCTTGATGTTTTGATGCAAATGTTTCAGGCATTTTTAAGCGAATTAAGTTATTCGGCAAAATGTTTTACCGAACATTCAGGTCGAAGTGAACCTTTAGCCGGTGATGTTTATATGGCTTTAATTGAGATGGGTTTTAATGTTCCTTCATTATGTCAATATGCACAACGATCCAATCGAATAATGATACCGAATCCATCACAAATGCCTAAACAACAACCACCAAAAATCCTACAAACTGGTAAACGGCGACCACATCCAAGCTATATTCCAGATTATTTACCACCATTCCCTGATTCACATTCATATATTGGTACACCGACATATAAACAACCTGTGACCGATTATGAAACATTAAGAGAAAAATCATCGATGCAAAAACGTGATGTTGAACGAGCATTGACACGGTTCATGGCGCGAACATCAACATCAAATTCTTATTCATTGTTTGCCGATAAACAATCACATCTTTTTCCATTGATTGGAATAAAAATGAATAATATACCATATATATCGGCATTATTGCCAAAAGATCGTATTTGGAATGCTCAAGACAATCAATTTCAATCGATTTTAAATGCCAATAAAAAATCATCATCAACTACTACACCGGTAACATCTTCATCGAATATAACGGGAGCGGCTGATGATGCTATAAAATTGAATGAATCAATCGATTCAATCGATGATGATCCATTGAATCCTAATAATAGCCAGAACAATAATAATAGTGTTGATGTGATTGAAAATCCATTTCTTTTACCGCCTAAGATCGTAAATTTTCAATGATGACCGACAATAACAACAACAAACAACGAAAAAAGAAAACTAAGAAAAAAGACATACAATTTTTTTTCCGGCCATTAAATTGAATGCATGCAAGTTTTTTTCCGGCCATTAAATTGAATGCATGCAAGTTTTTTTTCGCCTTTACAAAAATTTTATTCGCATCATTTTCAACAGTGATTTATATCCGATGCCAATGATTGACTGCAGTATGGACACCGATTCAGCCATCAAGAATGCAAGAAAAATTAACTGTAAAAAAACTGATAAGAATCAATTGAATTTTATAACGATAATTATCCAATTTTTTTACAAACGAAAAAACCGGATGGATTCATTCTTTATTATTGTCATTGTCAATTTGATTCAATGAAAATGACAAATTTTTGTTTTCCCACACAAACACCATAATCATTATAATAATAATGATGATGATGATGATGAATAATGAATGTTTTGTATATAATAATAATAATAATAATAAAGACTATTGTATTTCATGAATCAAAAATCGTTATTGATAATGATGATGAGAACAAAAATGACAGCAAAATATCCATTGACATTATACAGGTGTTTTTCTTTTTTTCTTGACAATGAAGGATGACATTGAAACAACCATCATCATCATCATAATCATTCTTCAAACCAATCAATCGATTCGATTTATTTTCTTTTGCTGTTGTTGAATTCCTTATTGATTATGATGATGGCCTAGATTTTTTTTTTGTTGTTGAAAAAGAGTTGAATAAAAACAACTGGATGAAAAAAAAATTTTATTTAAAAAATTCAAGTTTTTTTTTGATCATTTTATGTTTATGTTCGATGATGATTATAAAGATGATGATGATGATGGTAGTCATGGATGAATGATTAATCATATTTAACTGATTTTTTTTATTTGCCAGATTTGGTTTTGATTCGATTCATCCAATCTTGTTTTTTTGCTTATTTTGATTTCGATTTTCGAAATGACGATAATTGTCTCGATCAGAGAAGAAGAAGAAAACTTTGAACTGGAATTGATTGTCACATTTTATTTATTTATTCACATTCAACCCCCCCCCCGATCATCATTATCATCATCAAAAATCACGGTTCAATGAAAATTCGGGAATAATAATAATGATGATGATCTTGAATAAATGAATGTATACACGCAAATTTTACAGTTAATTTTTTTCTGTTTTTCTTTAAAAAAACTAAACTAAATAACTTGTTGGGCTCAGTGTAATCAGTGGCTTAATTTGTTTTTTTTTCAAAAATATTTAAATCCTCTCTCACTATCTGATTTATTTATCTGATTCAGTTTTTACATGAAGAAAATCTTTAAAACATTCCTTGCCACTGGAATATTTTATTCAAAAAAACTTTAAACTTTTTTAAAAAATCACTGAACCTATTTAATCATTATATAACCCAAAACTAAATAAAAACTGATAATCTGAAAATATCCTTGATTGTCTTTTCGTCTAATACACACTGAAACATGATTATTTTGTTCAAAAAAAAAAAAATATTATCCCAAAACAACAAAACTGATCGATCACTCAATCAATCGATCAATCAATCAATCAATGTCATCGAATGATTATTATTATGATGATTATTATTAAATCCAAAGTCAAGATCATGAAAAAGATGATGATGATAATCTTGTCTTGTAAAAGAAAAAACTAAAATATTTTTCCGTTATTATAATAATAATTTCATCATCTGATAATTTTCTTTTTCTTTTTTGATTCACGAATTTGAACACCAAACTTGTTTCGATTTAATCCAAGAAAAACGAAGATGATGAAGATGATTAATCATCAAACATCTGGCGCCCTGAATCTGTTTACCTGGAAAAAACATTTTTTTTGTTACCTGCATCAAACGAAAAAGTATTGTCCATTTTTTGTCCATCAAAATTCAGGTTGCTGATAATCATGATGATGTACAACATGATATGATGATGTCCATCAGCTTAATCCAACTATCATTATGGTTGCAAATTATTACTGCACAATTCATTAGATGTCACAACAACAACAACAACAACGAGAGAAAATTCTAAAGAAATTTCGACTAATCAATGAGTTTAAGTTATTAATTTTGTGACCTCAATCAAACCAAACAACAACAACAACAAAAAATTGTTAATCTTTGACATTTGTGGAATGAATAAATCCTTTTTTTTCGAAAAATTTTTTAATCATTTTCATAAATTTTAAATATTTTTTTCCTCCATTCAAGTTCAAAACCATGATAATTAAATAGAAAGGGGTTGGAAAGATCAAAAAAAAAAAATCATAAATCTTGAACATTTCTTGATTTGTCAACCTTGACATTTTCTACCTAAATAGCTTATCATCGTACTCTTCGTTTTGCTCGGTATCCTTAGATCATTAAATTAATCGTTTGGATTCGATGATAATTGGAAGGGGAAAGAAAAACAAGGAAAGAGAGGGATTTCTAAAAAAATAAACTTTGATTCATAGAAATAATCAAATTTCATTTCATTTTTGATAATAATTTAAAACAGTAGAAAATTAATAGGTAAAAAAAACTATGATAACACGAATTAAGACGAATAACGGTAAATTCAATGATAATGATTATAAATACAGTGTGAATGTAATAATAATAATAACTTTATTTATGCACACTGCAAACAGTGTGAATGTGAATAAGGTATTTTTAGATGATGATTTTCGTAGAAAATCAAGAAACTAGTTACCTGTTTTATTTCATTTTAAAGAAAAGAAAAAAAATTTATATGGACATTGGATAATTTACCTGGTTGGTTGGTTGGTGGCTGGTTATCAATTTTTGCAGGTTTATTCTTTCTCTCTCTTGATAATGATGAAACTTGAAACTTGAATCAAAGAGCGAGAAAAACTTGTTCTTCGCTGTGTGCATGTGTGAATCGAAAAAAGAAAACGGTATTTTGTATTACCGAATGATGTGTTTGTGTGTGTGTGTTGCATAGGTACAATTATATCACGATTTTTTTTTTGGTTTGAAGTTCAAGTTTCTGTGCCAATTTTTTTTTTTCGTTTCCAATATGAAGAGTATCTTTCTCTCTACTTTTGGTCTTTTTTTAATTTCTGGATTGAATTGAAATGAAGATTTTTTTTCTTTCTTACCCCGTCATCATCATCATCATTCAATGTCGGGTCATTTTGAAAGTGTACAAGAAATGCTGATGGTGAAAAAGAGATTTTCGATGAATATTTTTTTAAAGTGTTTCTTCATCTGATGGCCATTCTCATTCATTCATCACATCGATGTATTAATATTTTGTTGTTGTTGGATTGAAAAGCAACAACAACAACAAACTAACGTTTTGTTTTGTTTTTTTCGGTAAAAATTCTTCTCTTTCACCATAACTTGTTTAACTGAGTTTCTTCTGTTGTATAAGTGTGTGTTTTCATTACATATTTTCATTCTTCAATCATGATTTAGTGTGAACATCAATCCAGAAAAACCAAACTTGCTTTTGGGGTATTTGTGTCAATGTCTCACATTTTTCATTTCATTTTGTTTGATCTGTTTTTCATGATTGTTTTTTTTCTTCTTCCAATCGATCGATCAATCAATCAATCGATATTTTCGCATCCATTAATCGATTCGGATTGAATCATTTTTGATGATGGTGATGATGAGAAGGATTCATTTCACATTATAATCACTTTTTAAAAATCGATACAATTTTGTTTTGTTTTGTTTCAACAAAAGAAATTGACCCAACGTTGAAAATTTATTTCGATCATCATCATGAAATGAATCAATCAACGAATTTCAATTTATAGATTTTTTTGCTGCAGAAAATAAATCAATTCATTCCTCTCTCATTCGGTATAAAAATAAAATCACATCATTAACCCTTTTTCATCAGAAGAAAATGAAATGTTTTGTTGTTTGTTTGAAAATTTGATCCCTTATATTTGAACAGCAAAGATTTGTTTTGAGAAAATCTTTATTTGGATACATATCATCCAAATAATAAAAAAGTGGATCACGATTCATTCGATATTGAATGAATCCAGAACAACAACCAAACCAAAAAACCGTTATTCATCGTTATTTTTTCGTTGTTGTTTTATTGTTTTGTTATGAAATGAAATCATCGTCATCATCATCAATATTACAACAACAACAAAATCAAATGTTTTCATCAGTTTCATCATCATAATAAAGATATTTATCATCATATTTTTGTTTTCTTTTTCGTAGCCGTGAAATATCGACAAAATGAAACATAAAGATTATCATCTCTGTCATTGTCATCATCAGGAAAAACAATTTCCATCAGATTCTTATCAGTCTTATCATCAGCAACAACATTCTAATCATCATTATTGTTATTTTTATCGCCATCATCATCATCATCATTCACATCGTCATCATTCACATCATCCTTTATATTGTAATGGAAAAATATTATTATCATATTTCATTATTACATTAATATTAATATCTCAAATAGATCATGTAAGTTTGTAATCCTGAAATTACTTTTACAAATTTGTAAATTTTTTTTGTTCATAATTTCATTTTGATAATAATTAGGTGATTGGCCAAAATGATTATTATGATGATCTAATGGCTAATGTTGTTGGTGCCAGTAATGGTGCAAATGGTGATATTGAAATATCATCAAATGGACAACAACAGAATAATAATAATGTTAATAATATGATTGCAAGTAGTACAAAATTAGATTCATTAGATGTTATTTGTGGTAAAGAATATATGACTGTTCGGGCTGAATTCAATGGACAATTTAATGGAATAATATTTTCAAAAGGAACATATGGTCAAAGTAAATGTGTTTATGTTAAACCACATTCCAGTTTAACACATACAACATTTAATGTACGTTATGATGAATGTGGTACGAAACCAGATTTACAGGGGAAATATTTTGAAAATACTATCGTCATTCAATATGGTACTGATATTATTGAAGCATATGATGAAGCTAAACGTTTACGTTGTGAATGGTTTGAAGCATATGAAAAGCCGGCTACATTTCGACCGGCTATTCCTGTAAGTAATAAAAATTATGTTGAAAGATTATTATCAACTGAATATAGCAATTTAAGAAAAAAAAATATCCGTTTAGCTTTGATGTTGATTTGATATGTCAGGAAGAAAAAACAAGAAGTCAAAGTCGAAATTTTTTTCATTCATTTGAATGATATCTAAATATGATCTGAATTTTTTCTCCTTCTTCGTCATCTTACTTGTCTCCTATGATTATAGGTCGCCGATCTGGATATAATCGAAATGAATTTTCAAGGCGATGAAATTGATTGTTGGATGTCGATACAGGAAGGCAAAGGACCTTGGTCAAATGAAATTAATCGAATCGTTACAGTTGGTAATAATTGCAGTTGATTAAATGAATTATATTTGATAAAAATAAGCTAATTTTTGATTCTATCATCTACAAAAATTCTATAATCAGGTCAACCATTAACAATTGTAGTGGCAATTAATGATAAAAAGAATCAATTTGATATGAAAGTAAAATCCTGTTTTGCACATGATGGTATCCGTGCACCAATTTATTTGATTGATGAAGATGGTTGTATATTACGAACAAAAATGATTGCACCATTTCAAAAGATACGTGGCTTAAAAGGAAAAGCATCATTAATATCATATGCACAATTTTTAGCATTTAAATTTCCTGATTCAGTTGATGTACAAATACAATGTACTGTTGAAGTATGTCGTCATGGTTGTATTGATACTTGTAATGATGGTATTTCGGGTAATCCACAATCACAACAACAACAACAACATCAACAACCAAGAAATCATCAAGATCATCATCGAAATGATTATCATAAAGAAACTATATTTAAAATTGAAAATGTAACTAGCCATCGATTCTTGATGGATAATAATAAAGATGATCTACTTGAATCAGCCGATAGTAATAAACAACCAGTTACATCAAATGTTTTATCCGATGTTCATATCATTAATAATAATAATAATGATGATGATAAAAATATTCAATCAATGATTGATGAAATTAATGATAATAATGATGAAAATGGTAAACGAAATTACCTTGATATTATTGCTGATTATCTTCATAATGTTGATAGTAATAATAAAGATCAAATTATACATAATGATTATCAAGTTGAAACAATAATGGAATCAACATCGAATCCGATTATTAAATCATCTCACGATCATGGTCATCATCAACCTCATCCTCAACATCAACAACAACAACCTTATCGTCAACATCCAACACCTAAACAGATAAATAATATACCGAAAAAAATTATTCAACAAGCACCACCAACACCACCGTTACAAAAACCATATCCAATACCAATAAATCATCATCATCATCATCATAGTGAACCTGTTGCACAGATTATGACCATTCCATTAAGTCCATTGTATTCAATGCCAATGCCATTAACAATGGGACCAATGATACAATCAATTCATCATCAACAACAGCCATCTAAATCGAATGGTGGTGGTAGTGGATTAGGTTCATTATTAAATCCATTTAATTCATTAAAATTATTCGGTAATGGAAACAATAATAATAATGGTATTAGTGGTGGTAGTAGCCAGAAAAAATACATACCTCAAATATTATCAAATTATTTTCAACAAAAACGTCAACCATCACCATCATTATCATCACCGACATCGATGATGATGAATTTACCGAATGATAATTTTGAATTATTATTAAATTCACCAATTCCATCGAATGGTGGTGGTAATGGTCATCGTCTTTATCGTAGTCGTCGTTATATTAATGATAATCAAGGTGAAATTGGTTTGAAAAAAGGTTTTCAAGTTGTAACCACATTAGATTTATCATTTGCACCAAATATTTCACAAGATATGATGCAAATATTTGAAGGTAAACCTGAAACAATTGTATATGGTCTTTGTTTTTCAAGTACATATTTTATTTATGCATTAGCAACAGCATTATCATTTTTATTTAGTACAATATTTGTATCAATTTTTATTGTTTGTAAATTGGAACGTATTAAAGTGGCCAAAAAAAATATTTTATGTTAAAAACACATTTACAAATACAAAACGAAACAAAACAAGCAAATATTGTCCTTTTCCAAATTATATTTTGAAATTTTGTTTTTTCCTCTTCTTCTTCTTCTTCGAAATTTATTTATTCCATTTATCTTATCGTACCAAATTTTTTTCCATTCAAAGATTTCAAGTATTTATTTCATTTTTTTTTCTATCTTTTCTTTGCTTTTTTTTTCTTGATAAATAAACGAATATATAGAAAATAAATGTTGTTGTTAAATAAAACCCTTTGATGTTGATGTTAATTTTGAATTTTGTGAAAAATCCTGAAAATCGAAATTGAAGAAATTCATTTGTTTTCGAATAAAATGGAAAAAAATGAGCAATTTAGAAATTTCGAAATGAGCTTGCGCAGTCAGTCAATTTTTTTTTTCGTTTTGTTTTCCGTTTTCCTTCACACACTCAACACAAAAACATTCGATTTTTGATATCGATGATCACGTTGTGTTTATTATTTTCGAAAATGTAAAAAATGTGCAAAAAAAATTTCAATTACGTTTTTGGACGACAACAAATTCTTCCAGGAATCCATCCAAATCTATCGACAAATCTATTTACTTTCGTTATTAGGAAGTAACCCGAATTTATCGCCGAAAAATCAAAAAACTACACACATAATTGGAAATTCACTTCCAAGAAAAAGGATATTCATCTTCTCTGGTGTCTAAATGACTTGAAAACTTCAATCTTCAGTCCATTTCTATTGGACATCACGAAAAATTTAAAACAACTAGATGGTAATGTAGAACTAAAAGAATGATTTAATTTTCTTAATTATCTTTTTTTTAGATGAAAAAAAAAACAACTAATTGAATTAGTGAAAAAACATAACTGCTATAAAGACCGAAAATATCTTAAAAAAAATGAAAAAGAAAAGATAAAAAAATCCTGGGAAATAATCGCAAAATCTATGAAGATTGGAAACTAGAGAACTCAAAATACTCTACCCAGAGTTAGAGTTTTTCAAAGAAATTATGCCTGAATATAATAATCAATCATACGTTTTGTTTTAATTTTTTTTTTAATAACCTATATTCTATTTTAATTTTAGATCATCATAATGTCATTCAAATTGATTAAAGTTAAATCACTATTTTTTTCTTTCTCTCTTTGTGTACCTCTTATTTTGTATTCTGCAAATTTGTATTTTACATATTCATATTTTTGCATACTTGTATTTTTGTAATCATGTTTCCTCTTCGCTCATCCTTTTCCGCCACGTGCTTTCTAGGATTTGTCATACATACATACATATACATGAACACACAACTTACATAACATTCATTCTTGTTCTGTCGCGCATACGGTGCAGACATATAATAAAATTCATTGTTCAATTACCCAATCCTGTGTGTATCAAATTGATGACTTAGAAAAGTGATAATAGAAACCACAATATTGACATTATTTCATCATCGAAATCAAACTTTTCTTTTAGTGATTATTCATATATGAATAGATTCACCTTTTTAATTTGCGTCTTCATAACTGAAAATTTATCAAAAAATGTATTAATTCTGTTTTTGAAACGTCAAAATTCTTGATTTATTTATTTGTGCATATTTTGTGTTAATGCTCTATTTGTCATAGCTATTTCAACCTCAAATTGAATGTTTGGGTAAAAATAGAACTATAGTGAAAAAAAGAAAAAAACGACT